ATTACCCTGTCAAGGAGCTTATGACAGACTTGAAAATCATTTGATTTTTATCTGCTTCTCCCACCAGGACCATCTGCTCCAGGCTTATTTAACTATCCTCAGAATTAGCCAAGACTCTGCCCCCAGGAGACGTGACACATGCCTAGGAATCCCACACCAACTTGCCCGTCACCAACTGTGTTGCTTCACTGAGGGAAAGACCAGGTACTGAAAGCTTGTCATTTCTTACTTCTTCAACCTGGGATGACAGGTGCACCTTCAGCCTCCAGGCCAGGGGATAAGACGGGGACTTCTAGAGCTTGCAAAGTCCTGAGACTCTGGTTGTCTTGCAGCTTTAGATAGGTAGGAGGGAGAAACGGACAAATTTCATTTCTACTTATTATTGTTTCTGCCATTTCCTATAAGCTCTCATCACTTAAGAGCAAAAATGTCGATATGAGCCTACCATCTAGTCAAAACTCAGTGGCAGGAGACCACACCAGGTACTTCTAAAAAAGTCTAAACATATGGTCACAGAAGTCTAGTTCGCTCGCCTTTACTGGCTTCCTCTCCAAAATCCAAACATCTAACAAAGCAGGGACCTGAAAATCCAATACTCACTCTACTGTAGATTTAATCAACCACAGCACAAGGAGGAAGAGGACATCTAACATTTTTTCCCTCTCAAATCTTCAGGCCTTTTGTCTGGCCACTGCCCCTCTCCCAGTCTGCCAACTGCAGCTTCTCATTAGGGGACTGGCATGGCTGGAGGACTGAGGTCTCCTCTTGTTCCTTCATGTTCCAGCTCTTTTGCTCACAGTTGTGTGGAAAACTGATGGCTTTGTTTGTCTTTAATTCCACTACTTAAAGCGTCTGTTTCTTCAAACTCATGCTCTGATTCAACCATTCCCTCTCTGCACTACACACATGGGAGGGCCTCAAGGCTCCAGAGACTGAAAGGTCTGAGCACAGTGCAGCTTTCACCTTGTGTGGATCATGAAGGGAGGACTACGGGAATTGATCCAATTAGGATACACAAACCAAATAAAAGATTGAATAAAAAGGACTACTTGAATTTTTAGCCACCTTCCCTGGATGTCTTCAAAACATGTCCAGTACCAGCTGGGCAGTTGGTAGAGAGCATGACAGCTGACCCTCAGCCAGGCTAGGTGAGGTTCCCGAATGATTTAAGGAAGTTAGACTCAAACACACACTCAGAAGCAAATAAAAACTCAAAACATACCGAAATGTAACATGAAGAATCTAATAACGAAAAGCCCTCATTTTAGGGGCCAGAAAAAGGCAGGAAAAATTAGGCACAGCCGTCAATCCCGATCTGTTTCAAATATCTGCTGTCCCCACAGCCAACAGTATCTATCAACCCCGCTCACTCATTTTGCAAACTCTGATGCTCAGTCAGAGACAAAGCACTTTCTTACAAGGACTGGCTGAGTGACACAACCAGTACACTTGCTCCCGGGCAGAAGGTCCATGAAAGGAGGCTTCTCCCTGCGCTGACATGCCTGCTGTCGGCATACACAGTGGACACACCACCTTACTCTCTCCCCTCCGGAGATCTACTCCTTACTTTTCCCAGGACTTAGAAATCATGTTAACAATAAGCAAATACAGCAAGGCCAGATGCCTTTCGTGGTCAGATGGTTCATTGTTTAAAAAGCTTCAGTTTAAAATCCAAAAGATTGTTAACAGATGCAGTTTCTGGCTGGAGACTGGGAAAAACCTCATTCAAACAAAAGAGTATGTTGTGATTGGAACTAAAAAGGGAATTACCTTTAAAGATAAGAACCACAAACATTTCCTATTTGAAAATACCCCCAGCCCCACCAACAGAACCTTTCCTGGACTCTTCATGAGAGTTAAGAAATTTGACAGTGCCTTGCTGTCTGTGACAGACCATGGCTGACCAGCCAGCCCGGTGACTTTTACAGATGTATTTGGACTGTGGACAAGGCCACAACATCCATCTCTTATTCTCCCCCAGATTACTCAAATAGGCAAAGTTCTGATTAATTTATTTCCAATCATTTTAGCCCCAGAAATACTTCTGCTGCCTTCGTTCTGGCTCTGGAAATGGGTTTTTAGCCAGCAACTTAGAGAAGTTTCATAAGTGGACAAAGAGCCCGATAAGCAGCGGCTGCTGGACAGGAAAAGCCACTTGGCCAAACACAGCTTGGCCCTGTCCTCGGGTCCCTGTCTCATCTGCCTCCACAACTTCTGTTCATTCTTACATGAAAAGCTTGCTTGTCACCATTCATGCTGTCTGTTGCTGTTGGCTTTAGCGGGCCCTTACCCTGTGGCTTCACTATGTGTGGGAACATCTGTGATGCCCGGGCTCCTAATCTTGAAAGGAGGAAAACGTGCAGCAGGCACAGGAGCACAGCCTGCCCTCGGCCTGAGGAATGGATGTGGTTTGGCGCAACGGTGATAAGCCTGATTTGAAAAGGGTGCACAGGAGATGTTCCAAGGAAAACACTCTGTTCCTAACTCTGAGGACGCCCACCATGGGGCTCCATTCTGAGAGCAGGCAATGGGGCCCTTGGGAATCACGCTGTCTAAAGAGAGGTAAACATCATCCTTTTCTGGTTAGATTTCTGCATCCTCATATTCGCTGTGTATTTCCCATTGTAGCAGTGCCTAGAAAGCCCTGTTTCTGACCAAGGCACAGAAAAGCTTTAAGAGTTAGGAGCTCTAATCAAGAGAATCGTTAGTCAAGCAATGCTACCATCACTGAACAGTGGGGCACATCAGACAAGCCCCTGGGATTCCCCAAGAGTTCAAATGGCTCTCCCACCCAGCCCTGCCACCACCGTGTCACATCAAGAATCTGTGTTTCTGGAATAAGGCCAGCAGAAGTGTGTTCCCAAAGATCCATGCCATCTCACCCACTGCTGGGAGAGGGGCCCATCTGTCAAAAATGGGATTCTGAGGCCAGTGGCCACACCCACACTCATCCTCCTACAAAAGCCAGCCCCATCATGCACGCTCCAGACAGGTTTGCAAGGGGAACTATAGGCCTGGAAATTGAAAAATGAGCAGCAGCTGCAAGCCCAAGTTCATTACTATCCTCCAGGGTTTGCCTTTTCTAATGTGAGGGGCAGTAGTTTCCATGATTAACTTTCAATTGCTGTCAAGGGTATAATGAAATCTGGGAAAAAAGGAAACTTTCCCCTCAGTAAGCTGCTCCTATTTTCCTGCCCTTTTCTTTCCCCTTGCTGCATATTCTCAACCCCTACTGCACACTGTTTCCTAATTTTGAGAAAAAAATCTGTGCTAAGATGAGCCAAACTAGACATTGTCCTCCGTGTACAAGGGTGCGGAACATCTCTCTTTCTTGGTTCCAGTCTCGAAGACAGAAATGGGAAAGTCCCCTTGTCATCAAACTCACCGTGCAACACCAGTTGCGTGCTGGACACAGTTTAGGTTTATTTTTAAAATTCTTTCTCAGTATATTATCTATGTTTCTTGAGCCATGATATGTGGTTCAAAGAGATGTTTCCTAGTCGGTCAGAGAAAGGGCTAGAGGAGAAAAAGCCACTCATTTTACAAAAACTCTCAAAGCTTCAAAGTAGGGGGATCTGAGAAAGGCCCAGAGATCACAGGAACGGTTCTAGATGAGCATATCTCTCAGCAAAGGCCACCTAGTGTCACCAATTACAACTGCTCAGGTGGAAAATTAATATACTTCACAATTTTTTGACAGTGTTCAGTATAATACTAATGACAACTCAGTGGTTCAGTCACCCTAAATTCATTTCAAAGTGTCAGAGGCTGGAGTCACAAAAACAAGTAAGACCTGGTGCCTCACCCCCAGAAGCAGAAAGCTCGGTGGGAGGGGCACACACTCGCGCACACACGCAGCCCTGGGGTCAGGGCACCTGCACTGAGTAACAGGAGGTGCCCCAGGAGGGTGGCACGCCAGTGCAGAACGCAGCAAAGTGGGGGCCGGGGTGCTGAGAGAGGTTGTGGGGCAATTGAGGGCCTAGTAGATGGGGCACCTGACAGCAGTCACTGACACGAGTGTCTTGAAAAGATACTGGATTGTTATAGTTTGTTCCTGTTCCCCTAGGTCAGAATGAGCAACCCAAGCGTCTGCTGCCTGCAGGAGAGAGGTGGCAGCACTCTCAGGCCCTGGCTCTACCTTCCCACTTATCCCATCTCAGGTACGTCTCTGCTGGGACAGAGGTGGCCGTGAGTGGGATTAGTCCCCAGAATGGATGTGGGGATGACCTAAGACTCTGCAGAAGACGGCAGAATGAACGTCATGTCAGGACTCAGTTGCCATGGAGCGGCGCCTGCACTGGGGGTGCTTGGGAAAGCTTTTGGTGCTTTGGTGTCCCCAGCGTCCATTCTCCCCATCTCATGAGGCAACAGAACCTCCAGTGTCCATGTGGAAAGTGACCACTGGGAATAAAGATTTGTTCCTTGCAGTGGGGTATGGCCAAGTAACGAGCAGTGGGAATGGGAGGACATCTGGTGTCAAACTCCTGGAATGTGCCCTGAAAGTGGGGCTGGGGGCCTGTCCCTTCCTTGCCTTTCGGCTCTTTACTCTGCAATGGGAAATGGCTGGAGAGCCACCTTGAGGAACAAGGACAAGGCCACACCTGAGAGATGGCAAACAAAGAAGGCGTCAGCTGGCGCCCAGGGAGGCAGCACCATGAACCCACCACACTGGCCCTACTCTGCCCGTATGCAAACTTTTATGTAGAGAATGAAGAACGAGTGGGGTGGCGTTGTCTTGGATGACCCAACATTACTTTTGGTCTCAGTTATACACGATTACAAATAACAGTCACAAGCACAGAGGGGTCCAGTGACATGCTGGTGACATGCAAGGAGTTGGCTCTGTACTGCTGGCAACACCACAACACACCACACCACACCACCCTCCCTCTGGCTTCCACGTATAAAGAGCTGTCTGAGTTCTGGCAGGAAAATTCGAGACCAAAGGGAATAAAAGATGGCAATTCCCTGGTTAACCATAATCACAATGAACATCTCACCTTTTTCTTGCTGCAGTATATTTGCCACTTTTTCTCGGCTGGAAGTGCAAACATGGCTTCCCTGTGTTTATCTGTGAGGTCAAGTTCATCCTAAGAAGAAAAAAAATAATTAGTGTTTCATAGGTTAAATGTCATTCCTACAGAGAAAGTTATCATTACCACCAAGGACAGAAAAAAAAAAACCCCACCAATACATATTTAAATGAACTTGAAAAAGATGAAGAAGCTTAGTTAAGGTGGGAGTTACCATCGCTAAGCAAGCAGAGGGTCCCTGGCAGAGGGCTCAGCATGGAGCCACCACTGTGACCCTGAGCTGCTGCCTGCAGCTGCACTGGATAAAATAAGGGTTTGCTGAGACGGCTTCACACACACCAACTCCAGGCTGGGCCCGCGGGATGTGGACACGAGGAGCTGGGAGCAAGGGGAGCAAGGCTGGGTTGTGGTAACAAACTTGCTGTATGGGGGGACAACAGGCAGTTAGCCAAAGCCTTCAACTGATACAAAGGATTATCAGATAAGAGCTCTGAGACGTAAGGAGGGACCAGTTTGTAGAAAGCCTTACATGCAGGACTAAGAAGTCTATCCTCTTGAACAAGGTGAGCCAATGAAGTTCTGAGCAAGGGAGAGACACCCTCATTGCATAAACCTTGACTCGTGTTTACTTAAGTACTTCCTGTGTGAGCATTTTCTCATTCACTCTAGTTCTTATGACAACCCAAGGAGGCCCACTCATTATTGCATATCCATATTTGTAATACAGCCGGGGGAAATTTAGACTGAAGATTGGACAAGTCGCTTGCTCAAGACTGAACACCTGGCAAACCGCGGGGCTGGTTTGAGCTCAGCGCTGACTTCAGAGTCCAGACTCAGCCTCCCAGACCTGTGCTTGGAAATGCTGATTTTGTAGTGGTGCACAGCTTAGATGGAACCCTGAAGGAAGGCGGTTTATAAATATTCATAATTACTGAATAATAATAATGGAATAATAAATATAATGTGTCCAGAGAAAGGTTCTTGGCATTTAGTAAGAACCCAATCTACAGTCAACACTATTATTGGTACCGAGCATCTAGTGCATTTGTATTCCCGTAGGGAACGTTATGTAACTGAGGGTAGTAGGCTGGTGGGTGTGAATAAGATTTTTTAAAGTAATAATTAATGGACAATAAGGTTTAGATCCCTGATGAGGACAGACCCCGTGCCCCTAACTGGCCTCTGCGGACACCTGCAGTGCTGCCTGCCACACTCGTGGGCACAGGGGCTTGCGATATTGGCTTCACATCTCACCCTCCTACTGCCAGTTAGTCAACAAGTCCTATTATTTCTTCCTTGAAAAACCCCGTTTTCCTCTTTATCTAATTTCTGATGAGACCACCCACATTTACTTATGCACAATAACCTCTTCCTTGGTTTCCAGTGACAGCTTCCCACGTTCCCCTTGCCTTTCTAATCCTCCCTCCCGGGAAAGGCTAGAGTTCTCCTAAAGCAGTGGTCCTCAGACTGGAGCCCACACCACCATCCCCAGAGGGCTCCTTCATGCCCCATGGCCGGTGTTGAGGAAAGAACAGGCAGGGGATGTGTAAGGAAGGATCTGCATTTCCATGGTGCTGCATGGCCTGAGGGCTGGGTCCACGCTTCAGAGCCACTGCCTGAAAAGCCGGGTGTGATGGCTCATGCCTGTCATCCTAGCAATCTGGGAGGCGAAGGCAGGAGGACTGCTTCAGTTCAGGAGTTCGAGACCCACCTGAGCAATGTCTCTACTAAGAGGAGAAAAACTATCCAGGCGTGGTGGTGTACACCTGTAGTCCCAGTTACTTGGGAGGCTTAGACAGAAAGATGGCTTGAGCCCAAGAGTTTGAAGCTGTTGTGAGTTATGACACCACAGCACTCTACCCAAGGCAACAGAGTGAGACTCTTATCTCCAAAAATAAAAATAGTGCACCTGGGCTGTTTTGCCTTCCCAGTTCTAAATCTTCTTTAGTTTCACGTTACCTACAAAATAAATTATGCCTTCCTCAGCCTGTCTTTTGAGCTTTCCATTTATAA